CTGCGCACACAAAGGGTTGCCAAGTGTTACTTGCTCTTCCTCTGCATAATCTCATGTTAAACAGTAATTTAACTTCCACTCCGTAGGGTTTTAACTGTTTATACATATCTTCAATAACAGGAAGATAAGTGTTTTCCCAAACTTCATCTCTTCGAACGCAGGTAATCCCAATTCCTGTTGGTATTATAACTCTCATAATTTGAGGAGACTCCTTGATAAAGATAAATACATCTTCCATACCATTCTTGAAGTAGACGAGACGATTAATGGATGTATCTTCTCTTATTCCAGCGAGCAAGTTTCTGTCATCTGATTTTTCTATAATTCCCTGAGCAATGTTATTACTTTCTATAGGTAATCCAATACCATATTGAGTGGCTATAGCAACAATATACGGAAGATTTTCTCCTTTAGAGATATGAATTGTTCCTGGTACTGGCCGATCTTCAGGGATACATCTCTTAAGACTGTACAAGGGTCGGCGAACATTATAAGCGTCAGCATGAGGATATTTCTTGGCTAAGTCTAGGGCCACTCCTCGGGGAACACAAGGTATACAGTTCACTCCGTACACAATGCAGGTTTCATTATCACAAAACAATTCGTCTGTTAAATAACCCTTTCAAGTTTTCAGAACGGTGTCTATGGTGAATTTTCTTCATCGTAAGGAAGAAAATTAAATTTCTTGAATTCAAATTCACAGAATTCAAACTGTGATTGGTTGCCCATTTCCTCTACAAATCCAATTTGTAGAGGAAATATTTCATATATAATAAATACAATTGCTTGTTGAATAGCTTAATATGATTAATTCTATATAAGACTGTAGTAGGAATATGTTTACGAGTTCTTGAATACCTGTATATGATTTCTCGAATAAGTGTATATGTTATAATAAACTTGATGTCTCTTCTAAATAAGATTTCTTTATCCTTAATAGAATAATCTGATTATTACATTGGGGACTAAAACAAGTATGATTACTTAAAAGCTGATTGCCACTGAATAATGAGACGTTGTGGTAAGTTTAACGGAAATATTGATTAAAATATGACTTGAAAAGTTACCTTTGACCACTGAAGGTGTATTTTTAATTAAGCTGAGTTATGAAAAGATTGCCTTAACATGCTGCTGTAAGTAATGACATGGTGTACTGGCAGGTATCTTTAATTGCATGAAGATATCTTAGAATGAATTATATTGATGCAGTTTTGAAAAAAAAATGAAGAATAACTAGTAAATGCTTTGTAGTAACTCGTTAAGAATTAGTAATGTTACTGTTGTTGTTAAGGATGATCTACTTACTAAATGACAGAAACAATTGGTTTAAGAATTAGTATAAAGATGAACGGAGAACGTGTAAGGGAATGTAATGAACGGGTAAGAACATGTAGCGGAGGGAGGGAGGGAGGAAAATTGTAAGAAAGGGTTGAGAGTTAGGCGGAGAACATGTGGGGACGTGTAAAGGGTTGAGAGTTAGGCGGAGAACATGTGGGGACGTGTAAAGGGTTGAGAGTTAGGCGGAGAACATGTGGGGACGTGTAAAGGGTTGAGAGTTAGGCGGAGAACATGTGGGGACGTGTAAAGGGTTGAGAGTTAGGCGGAGAACATGTGGGGACGTGTAAAGGGTTGAGAGTTAGGCGGAGAACATGTGGGGACGTGTAAAGGGTTGAGAGTTAGGCGGAGAACATGTGGGGACGTGTAAAGGGTTGAGAGTTAGGCGGAGAACATGTGGGGACGTGTAAAGGGTTGAGAGTTAGGCGGAGAACATGTGGGGACGTGTAAAGGGTTGAGAGTTAGGCGGAGAACATGTGGGGACGTGTAAAGGGTTGAGAGAGAGTGTAAGGGTCAGTACCAAGATGTGCGGATAACACACTAGAACATGTAAGTAAGAAAGTGTAGTGAGATGCGCGGCGAACATGTGAGCACTTGTATGGAAAGTAGGAAGGAAGAGTTGGGTATATTTACATATGAGTCAAGCTAAAATATGATACACGGTAATAGTTATTTAAGTCTCATGTAAAATGGGAAGAACTAGAGAATATGTAAGACTAAGTACTGATCTGAACTTAGAGAGAATATGCTATGAACGGGGAAAGAACACAAATTAATAGCTACATTTAAATTTCTTGAGGCTTGGATGAGATGGGGAAGGGGGGGGGAGATGGGGCGTGGGGGGGTTAGGGGGGGGGAAGATAAGGAGTAAGGCGGGAGAGGGTGATAAAGATAATTACACATGTGCGGTTACATTTGGGTGTTTTACTCTGATAAAGAGTTAGGCTTGAGAGGGGCTTTGATCTGAAATATTTATTTTTGATGATCTAAGGAGGAGGAAAGGAATTGGAGTTCGTTTAATGTCTTAATTATTTTACTAGGGGGGAGGGGGTAGGAATGTAGTGGGGGTTAAACCTCAGAGGAATTGATTGACAAAGTTGTAACAGTACAGTAGGAGGAGGACAGGAGCTGATACTCGGTAACTCTATTTCCTTGACTTACTCAGTTAGAAGTATGACCGCTTTAAGTTATGGGAAAATTGGCTCCGTACTAAAGAACTTGTACAAATGAACTATGGTTCGGGGGCAAGAGCTGGAGCTCGATGAGTAGGTTTTCTTTAAAGTTTGCGGCTTAAACTGGTCTCTGACTATTTTCGGATTTCTACTGGACTCTGAATAATTTAAATCTTTTTACTGAACTTTGCTGAAAATTAGTCTGAAAAATGTTCTCTGATTAATTTCTGTCTTTTTTACAGGTGAAATAGCTGTTAACTCAAACTTACTGCTAAGATGTTTATTTTCCTCAATAAAAATATAGAAATAGCTGTAAGGAAATATGAATGAATAATGAATGAGCGAGGTAAGGATGAAACAGGTAGGGGTGTAAGGCAACAGGTAGAGAGAGGGAGCGAGGTAGGAACAGGTGACGCGGGGGAGGGAGGAGGGGGGGGGGGGGGTAAGGTGACGCGGGGGGGGGGGGGCGGCCAGGTAATTAATGACATCTAATGTAGCCAGATAATGTTACATTTAGTTAAAAAGACATACTTGTTTGTAGGTAAAATTTCTACTTAAAAGAATAAATACCGTCTAAAATATCTGTTTATGACAGTAGAGTTGATTCTCGTTAAGATGGGAGCGGACTCTGCCTCTGTGGTTCCTACACCACACTTCTATAACTCTCTACAAACTCTAAAATTATTTTTGTCATAAGAATTCTTTAACTACAAATAGGAAATATATAAGGAACACGACACTCCAAAAGCGAATGTGAAAATTTAACTGGAACCCCGGACACGCTATATGTAAACTTTTAAATTAACTGGGAAAACTGACACGCTAAACGAGAATATTCAAAATTAGCGTGTCATCCCTACTACTGGTGAGGTTACTATACCACAGTGTACCAGCATGGTGAGGTTACTATACCACAGTGTACCAGCATGGTGTGGTTACTATACCACAGTGTACCAGCATGGTGTGGTTACTATACCACAGTGTACCAGCATGGTGTGGTTACTATACCACAGTGTACCAGCGTGGTGTGGTTACTATACCACAGTGTACCAGCATGGTGTGGTTACTATACCACAGTGTACCAGCATGGTGTGGTTACTATACCACAGTGTACCAGCATGGTGTGGTTACTATACCACAGTGTACCAGCATGGTGTGGTTACTATACCACAGTGTACCAGCACGGTGTGGTTACTATACCACAGTGTACCAGCATGGTGTGGTTACTATACCACAGTGTACCAGCATGGTGTGGTTACTATACCACAGTGTACCAGCATGGTGTGGTTACTATACCACAGTGTACCAGCATGGTGTGGTTACTATACCACAGTGTACCAGCATGGTGTGGTTACTATACCACAGTGTACCAGCGTGGTGTGGTTACTATACCACAGTGTACCAGCATGGTGTGGTTACTATACCACAGTGTACCAGCATGGTGTGGTTACTATACCACAGTGTACCAGCATGGTGTGGTTACTATACCACAGTGTACCAGCGTGGTGTGGTTACTATACCACAGTGTACCAGCATGGTGTGGTTACTATACCACAGTGTACCAGCATGGTGTGGTTACTATACCACAGTGTACCAGCGTGGTGTGGTTACTATACCACAGTGTACCAGCATGGTGTGGTTACTATACCACAGTGTACCAGCATGGTGTGGTTACTATACCACAGTGTACCAGCATGGTGTGGTTACTATACCACAGTGTACCAGCATGGTGAGGTTACTATACCACAGTGTACCAGCATGGTGTGGTTACTATACCACAGTGTACCAGCATGGTGTGGTTACTATACCACAGTGTACCAGCATGGTGAGGTTACTATACCACAGTGTACCAGCATGGTGTGGTTACTATACCACAGTGTACCAGCATGGTGTGGTTACTATACCACAGTGTACCAGCATGGTGTGGTTACTATACCACAGTGTACCAGCATGGTGTGGTTACTATACCACAGTGTACCAGCATGGTGTGGTACTATACCACAGTGTACCAGCATGGTGTGGTTACTATACCACAGTGTACCAGCATGGTGTGGTTACTATACCACAGTGTACCAGCATGGTGTGGTTACTATACCACAGTGTACCAGCATGGTGTGGTTACTATACCACAGTGTACCAGCATGGTGTGGTTACTATACCACAGTGTACCAGCATGGTGTGGTTACTATACCACAGTGTACCAGCATGGTGTGGTTACTATACCACAGTGTACCAGCATGGTGTGGTTACTATACCACAGTGTACCAGCATGGTGAGGTTACTATACCACAGTGTACCAGCATGGTGTGGTTACTATACCACAGTGTACCAGCATGGTGTGGTTACTATACCACAGTGTACCAGCATGGTGTGGTTACTATACCACAGTGTACCAGCATGGTGTGGTTACTATACCACAGTGTACCAGCATGGTGTGGTTACTATACCACAGTGTACCAGCATGGTGTGGTTACTATACCACAGTGTACCAGCATGGTGTGGTTACTATACCACAGTGTACCAGCATGGTGTGGTTACTTAGCCGCCGACGCCGCCAGCCGCCAGTCGCCAGTCGCCAGTCGCCAGCTGCCAGCCGCCAGCCGTAAGTCGCCAGTCGCCAGTCACCAGCCGCCTGTCACCAGCCGCAAGCCGCCAGCCGCCAGCCGCCAGTCGCCAGTCACCAGCCGCCAGCCGCTAGCCGCCAGTCGCCAGTCGCCAGCCGCCAGTCGCCAGTCGCCAGTCACCAGCCGTCAGTCGCCAGTCACCAGCCGCCAGTCACCAGCCGCCAGTCGCCAGTCGTCAGCCGCCCAGCCGCCAGTCGCCAGTCGCCAGCCGCCAGTCGCCAGTCGCCAGTCGCCAGTCGCATGTCGCCAGTCGCCAGTCGCCAGCCGCCAGTCGCCAGTCACCAGCCGCCAGTCGCCAGTCGCCAGTCGCCAGTCACCAGCCGCCAGTCACCAGCCGCCAGTCGCCAGCCGCCCAGCCGCCAGTCGCCAGTCGCCAGCCGCCAGTCACCTGCCGTCAGTCACCAGTCGCCAGCCGCCAGCCGCCAGTCTCCAGCCGCCAGTCACCAGCCGCCAGTCGCCAGCCGCCCAGCCGCATGTCGCCAGTCGCCAGTCGCCAGCCGCCAGTCACCAGCCGCCAGCCTCCAGTCTCCAGCCGCCAGTCGCCAGCCGCCAGTCGCCAGCCGCCAGTCGCCAGCCGCCAATCACCAGCCGCCAGTCACCAGCCGCCAGTCGCCAGTCACCAGCTGTCAGTCGCCAGCCGCCAGTCGCCAGCCGCCAGTCACCAGCCGCCAGCCGCCAGTCTCCAGCCGCCAGCCGCCAGTCACCAGCCGCCAGCCGCCAGTCGCCAGCCGCCAGTCACCAGCCGCCAGTAGCCAGCCGCCAGTCACCAGCCGCCAGTCGCCAGTCACCAGCCGTCAGTCGCCAGTCGCCAGTCGCCAGCCGCCAGTCTCCAGCCGCCAGCCGCCAGTCACCAGCCGCCAGTCACCAGCCGCCAGTCACCAGCCGCCAGTCACCAGCCGCCAGTCACCAGCCGCCAGTCGCCATTCGCCAGCCGCCAGCTGCCAGTCGCCAGCCGTCAGCTGCCAGTCGCCAGCCGCCAGCCGCCAGTCGCCAGCCGCCAGCCGCCAGTCGCCAGCCGCCAGCTGCCAGTCGCCAGCCGCCAGCTGCCAGTCACCAGCCGCCAGTCGCCAGTCGCCAGCTGCCAGTCGCCAGACGCCAGTCGCCAGCCGCCAGCTGCCAGTCGCCAGCCGCCAGCTGCCAGTCGCCAGCCGCCAGTCGCCAGCCGTCAGCTGCCAGTCGCCAGTCACCAGCCGCCAGTCACCAGCCGCCAGTCACCAGCCGTCAGTCGCCAGCCGCCAGCCGCCAGTCGCCAGCCGCCAGTCATCAGCCGCCAGTCACCAGCCGTCAGTCTCCAGCCGCCAGTCGCCAGCTGCCAGTCGCCAGCCGCCAGTCGCCAGCCGCCAGTCGCCAGTCGCCAGCCGCCAGCTACCAGTCGCCAGCCGCCAGTCGCCAGCCGCCAGCCGCCAGTCGCCAGCCGCCAGTCGCCAGTCGCCAGCCGCCAGCCGCCAGCCGCCAGTCGCCAGTCGCCAGCCGCCAGCTGCCAGTCGCCAGCCGCCAGCAGCCAGTCGCCAGCCGCCAGCTGCCAGTCGCCAGCCGCCAGCCGCCAGTCGCCAGCAGCCAGTCGCCAGCCGCCAGGCGCCAGTCGCCAGCCGCCAGTCGCCAGCTGCCAGTTGCCAGCCGCCAGCTGCAAGTCGCCAGCTGCCAGTCGCCAGCTGCCAGTCGCCAGCCGCCAGTCGCCAGCTGCCAGTCGCCAGCCGCCAGTCGCCAGCTGCTAGCTGCCAGTCGCCAGCCACCAGTCGCCAGTCGCCAGTCGCCAGCTGCCAGCTGCCAGTCGCCAGCCACCAGCCGCCAGTCGCCAGCCGCCAGCTGCCAGTCGCCAGCCGCCAGCCGCCAGCTGCCAGTCGCCAGCCGCCAGCCGCCAGTCGCCAGCCGCCAGCTGCCAGTCGCCAGCCACCAGCCGCCAGTCGCCAGCCGCCAGCTGCCAGTCGCCAGCCGCCAGCTGCCAGTCGCCAGCCACCAGCTGCCAGTCGCCAGCCGCCAGCTGCCAGTCGCCAGCCGCCAGCTGCCAGTCGCCAACCGCTCCGCCTCACTGCACTACGTGACGTCACCCACCCGCCAAACCCTTACCGGCCGTCTCCTTATCTGCCAGTGTGTGTACACGAGACAACACCTGCCGTGAGTGTTGTGTATAAAGATAATCATTGAAGGATTACCTGTTAAACAATCAGCATGTGACCCGCAGAGGCTCAAAGCAATCATAGAACAACAAATGGAAACCATCTCAAGACCCACAACGACTCACATCTTCACAGACGGATCAGTTGACCAAGAAAAAGGTTCTGCTGGGCAGTAGTTTACACTAACAACCATGAAGCTTACTGGAGCATTAATAGTGGGTCCTCAACATTGTAAACAGAATTATATGCCCTGAAGGAGGCCATAAATTATACAATTGAGAATAATTTACATGACGTCATCATTCATACCGACGCTAAATCTTCGCTCCAGGCATTGTTATCCAGTCAGCACAGAGATAATATGCAACTAACTCATCACAGTAATCCTACATATAGATACCACACAGATATACACGCATACACCTGACGGTGTGTGTGTGTGTGTGTGTTTATCTGTGTGGGTATCACAGTATTACACTCGTCTGTGAATGTGAGCTTCATATACACCACACATTTAGTTATTGTGTGACATAAGTATTGTGCATGATTGTTGACTGTCCCATTGACAGTGGCATTGTTGATTTACTGTGCATGATTATTGCCCGAGTATCATTTTTGGAACTGCTGTGACACCGCTACTATTAGATATGTCGTGTTAGTGATTGACTCTCAATCGTGTTAAGTTAGGTTTTGTCCACGAGTGGATCAGAATCAATTAGTCAAGAGTCTCACTAATGCGAAAGTAACCTTGCTGATGTCATTGTAAAGTAAATCAAGCACCTATTGTATTAGTGGTTAAGTGTAAATAAACTACTGTTAAGCATAATGAGGTGTTTCCGTTGAACCACTTCTGAATACTGCCAACATTACTCAAGCCTTCAGCTCTAGGTGTCTTCAACACCGGGTTGCCTATTATTCACTAAACTATAAATGTGATGAGGACCCTAGGAGTCCCTTAAAGTGTTAAATCATTGAGGAGATTCCAACGATCAACGAGAAGCAGGACCAGGTGAGGCTAGTCTGAGAAGAGACCCTCAAGGACTCTAACTTGACCTTGCTCCCAGGCCCTGTACGGTTGCTCTCGTATTTTCTCTGCTGCATTCCGACAGCTTCGTGAAGCGTCTGCCACATGTACATTGGTGACGCTGCACACAATTGCAGTCAGGATTAAAAGTATAAGACCCCACAGGTTTCACTCTACAAGAAAGCGGGAAAGACAGAAAGTGTTGAGCTACAGACCCGTATCACTAACAAGTCTTCCCCTGCAAGTTGCTGAGAGAGTGATCCCAAGCAGGCAGTAGAACATTCAGAACAGATGAAGTTTGTCTCAAGACACTAACACGGTTTTAGAAAAGAAAAATCTTGCTGGACAATCTTGCTGAAGGTCTACAACAAGATGCCATAAATCAAACAAGAGAGAGAAGGATGGGTAGACTGCATCCTTGACTGTCATAAGACATCTGATACAAACCCGCATGAAACTCCTTCTCAAACTAGAGAAGCAGACAGGTGCATCAGGAAGAGTCCTAAGGTGAGTCAGAGAGTATCTCTTAGGAAGGAGTCAAAGGGTTACAGCGAGAGCAGAGACATCAGAGTGGAGAAAGGTCACAAGTGGAGTACCACAAGGGTCGGTTCTAGAGCCCTTCCTGTTTCTATGTCAATGACCTGACAGAGGAAACTGGTTCCTTCATATCAATGTTCGCAGATGATGCAAAATTAATCAGAAGAGTCAGGACAAAGATAGATTGAGATGCATTGCAAACAGATTTGGCCACACTCCAGAATTGATTTGAAAGCTGGCTGATAGAGTTTAACACGGCCAAATGCAAAGTTATGAAGATTGGAGCAGAAGTGCGAATGACCAGTACAGCAGTTTAGGGTTAAGAGAAGACTGACTCTACAATCAGAAAAAGAGAAAGCACCTGGGAGTGGACATAACCCCAAATATGATGCCAGAAGCCCACATAGCCAGAATAACAACAGATGAGTATATTATATTAGGAGTATATTATACATTGGTCAACATCTGTGTATCTTCATGACATACTGGTCAACATCTGTGTATCTTCATGACATACTGGTCAACATCTGTGTATCTTCATGACATACTGGTCAACATCTGTGTATCTTCATGACATACTGGTCAACATCTGTGTATCCTTCAGAAACTTAGACAAAGAGCTTTCCGGGTTCTATACACAGCGAAGGTGAGACCCACTCTTGAATAAGCGTCTCCAGCATCGAACCCCTACCTGAGAAAGGACGAGAAACTATAAAGGGAACAAAGATATGCAACGAGACTCGTTCTGGCGCTGTGGGGAAAGACTGAGAGAATTAGACCTTACCACATTGGTGGAAAGGAGTGATGAGGGATATGATAACGACATATAAAGGAACTTAACAAGGTAAGAAAAGCAGCGTTGATCAGACCTAGGAACAGTTGACTGAGGAAACTGGAGCCGCAAAGGCGTCATAGAGACAGAAGGAAGAACTTTTTTCCATGTTAGAGCTGTCAGTAAATGGAACAGGTTAGATGCAGTAGTTGTTGAAGATAATTATATTCAAAGAATTAAATGTAACTATGATAAAAGCATAAGAAATGTGTCATTGTATTAATTTAATTAAGAACATTCGGAAGTCGGTGCTAAAAGCCAAGTTCAACCATGCAAGCACATCTAGGTGAGTACATCTAGGTGAACACACACATACACACACACACACACACACACACACACACACACACACACACACACACACACACACACACACACACACACACACACAGTGTGTGTGTGTGGCTATGTGGCTATGCAAATGTGGCTACTGGAGTTCAGCACAAGCAAATGTAAGGTTATGAAAATGGGACTAGATAATAGGAGACCAAAGGGACAGTACACAATGAAGGGGAACTGCCTACCTGTGACGACGCGAGAAACAGACCTGGGTGTGGACGTAACACCTAATCTAACTCCTGAGGCACATATAAATAGCATGATGACAGCAGCGTACTCTACACTGGCAAAAGTTAGAACATCATTCAGGAACTTAAGTAAGGAGGCATTTAGGGCGCTTTACACTGCTTACGTGAGGCCAGTCTTAGAGTATGCCACACCATCATGGAGTCCCCACCTGAAGAAACACATAAGGAAACTGGAAAAGGTTCAGAAGTTTGCAACGAGACTCGTCCCAGCGTTACGAGGGATGGGGTATGAAGAGAGCCTGAAGGAACTGAGCCTTACGACACTAGAAAAAAGGAGGGAGAGGGAGGGATATGATAGGAACGTATAAAGTACTCAGGGGGGGATTGACAGAGTGGAAATAGACAAAATGTTCACACGGAATAGTAACAGAACGAGGGGACATGGGTGGAAGCTGGAAACTTAGATGAGTCAGAGAGATGTTAGAAAATTTTCTTTTAGCGTGAGAGAAGTGGAAAAATGGAATGCACTAAAGGAACAGGTTGTGGAAGCAAACTCTATTCTTATTCATATTCAATAAAGCCAAGACCGAACCAAAACTGCTCTACAGCCATATCAGGAGGAATACAACAGTGAAAATACAGGTCATGAAACTTAAAAAAGGGCGAGGACAATTACACAGAGAATGACAAAGAGGTGTGCGAAGAACTCAACAAGAGATTTCAGGAGACCTTCACAATAGAACGAGAGATTAAGTCTTTGAGCTAGGAGAGGAGACAGTATACCAGGAGGCCTTGGAAGGGTTCGAAATTAATAGAGATGAGGTCAGGAGACATCTATTGGTTCTGCACGTGAGAAAGGCTGTTGGTCCGGACGGACCAACAGCCTTTCCGGACGGACCAATCTCACCATGGGTATTGAAAGAGTGTGCAGAAGTACTTTGCTTGCCACTCTCCATAGTGTATAGTAGGTCACTGAAGACAGTGTAACACCCATGACCTCCCCCCCCCTTAGAGTTCACACCCAGGGAAGCCTTCTCCAAGAGGTCAGCCCAGATGACCTCCGGATTATCTTGTATGTTGATTAAAAAAAAAAAAATTCCTGGGTTAGTCTTAGTCAGCATAGTTTAAAGTATGTAATATTTCATGATACTCTTGTCAAACATTGCAAGGGAATTAGACCCCAGATTCTTATATGTAAACATCCATGGATCTCCCCCTTTTGGCCAGGTCAGAGGTCAGTCACACACGTAATTAATAACTCCTCTCTTGAAGAGTGTATGGTGAATGTCAAACAAGCTTATTGAAATATTTTTTAAGTGTTTGTGCACGTGTGGCCCAACCCCCTAGCATTTCTGGTCTAGGTAGCAACAGTAAATCTCCCCTCCCCCCTTTTGGGGTATATATAGAGGTCCTGTAGGGACTTAGGAAGGAGAGAGTGCCGGACACCGGGGTCCAGAGAGGGCTGTGGAGAACATCGGGAGGTGACAGAGGGAGAGACAGAGGTCTTAAGGTAACGTGTGTGATTTCTGAGGTTTTGTTCCATGTCCAAATTTCTTAAATTTTTGTCAGTGTTAGAGTAGGATTTATAAGTGGTGATTGACATAATTTTGGTCTCAATAAACTCATGTTAAATTTCCCGTCTGTGTCAATTGTTGAATCCTCTTAGCCTTTTGAATATAGTGGCTGACAACCGTTTCATAATTAATGACAGTCATAGAAAGTACTCTCCAAGTCAAGCAATGTTTCTTGTTAATGTTAGCAGGTAACAAGCATAAGGCATTGAACTACAGGCCAGTGTCCTTAACTTGTATACCATGCAAGGTGATGGAGAAGATCGTGAGAAAGAATCTAGTAACATATCAGGAGAGAAGGAATTTCGTGACAAATCACCGACATGGGTTCAGGGAGGGTAAATCTTTCCTCGCTGGTTTAATAGAATTCTACGACAAGGTGACGAAGATTAAGCAAGAAAGAGAAGGATGGGAGGACTGCATCATCCTGGACTGTCGGAAAGCCTTTGACACAGTTCCGCATAAGAGGTTGGTACATAAGCTGGAGAGACAGGCAGGAATAATTGGTAGG